AAGAGCGGGAAAAATGGAGGAGAACGAGGCTGAAGATGGAGGAGCTCCCTCTTGCAGCAACGGTCGTTCTTCTGATTCCCGAGATGACCCCGACATTGCTCTCTCTTATATTGTAAGTGTCCCTTTCACAAGCTTACTGTTCATTTCTAGATTTTGTTTCCATATTGAGCTTGAAGATCTAAGTGTAGCTTCTGTGTCTTGTTTCAAAATGTGGGACTCGGCTTGTTGCATTAAGTAGAGAATAGCTCTGGGATTCAATGTAAATGGAAAATGCATGAGTATTAATATTGTTGTGGCAACACAGTCGTAGGCAATCGTAACTTAATGCAGAAAATAAATGAACCACAAAAGAATCTTAATGAGATCCCCTACTTCCTTGGAGCCGAGTAAATTAAGAATCCAGGCTAGATATCAATATTTAAATAGATCCTAAGTTTCCTAATCCAACATAATCACCGAGATATCTGAACTTATTAGATAGGATTAACAGAACCTACTAGGTAAAACCCAATTTAAACTCTTAACCAGTAAGGCTTATCGTCCACGTCAAAATTTATTATTAGTGGATCTGTGGTGATGCTTGATGATGAGTTGAGTAAAGATCGTGACCTCTTGTGTTATATTATGCAGATCTCCTTCTGTATTTGCTTCTCCTTAGTCCTTACAGCTCTCTCTCTTTACTTTTTTTTTCTTTCAAAATTTCCTGATGACTATGCTGTTGGTGACAATGATTGTTTGTCTGTTTCTAGGATGATAAACTTGAAAACATTTTGGGACACTTTCAGAAGGATTTTGAAGGTGGAATTTCAGTTGAGAATCTGGGTAATTTGACAGTAGTAGAATACTATAACTTAACTGCTTTTATGCTCCAGGAGCATAACTAACTGCATCTCATCTCTAATCTGAACATATAGGAGCAAAATTTGGTGGCTATGGTTCATTCTTGCCTATGTATGAGCTTTCTCCTGTCCGGTCTCATCCTAAGAGTCCACAGGAAGTCCAAAGCCACTTCATTCTGAGGTCACCAAACAATTCAAGGTTGAAGGTAAAATTTTCCTCTTTGAAGCAAACAATGATGCACAGGTTTTTGTAACATTTAACATAGAAAGGAGAAACTTTTCTTGCCCAGCGGAATAGAAGCTTCCATTATTGGTGATGTTACATCCTGCTTAATCTTGCTGGTTCATGTTATTTTGTAGGAGTCTCGATCTTATTGCTCAGCTTCAAAACCTGCACGTCCAGTATGTATTTCCAGATCCACTTCCAAAGCTCCGTCCTCAAATGTTTTGGCCGAACTAAAAGAGTGTGTCAATTCCAGTAACTTTGGGACTTCACCAGAGCATAAAAACCTCAGAGTATGTATAAAAGTTGGTTCGAATGACCTCACATCACAGAAAAATGTGTTGGCATTTAGTGAACAAGGCGTCGACCCATCATCATTGACCTTCTTGGAGAAAAGCCTCTCAGAAGGTGATGAAGGCTTCCACGGTGGAGCAGATAATTCTCCAACTACAATTCTCATGGTGAATATCTCTGATTTGTTTCAATGTTCATGCACACTGAATAATGATGTATATATCTTTTTCTTCTTGGTGCCTTCCCCTGTGCAGGCAATGATTTCATTCCCGTTGCATACAGATCTATTGTTATCGCCTCTCTCAGATGATCTCATTCAACTGGGTGAGGAAAAAGGGATTACGACAGATGATAGCAGATATTTTCATATTCCCAAGTTGGATTCTGAAATCTCACATTTTCTTATGGATGTTCCTGATTCACAAAATTGTGACACTATGCTTTCAACTGCAAAGAAAGAAAAGTTGACAGAGTCTGTAAAGGTTTTACCACTGCCAAGCTCAAGCAAGGCTGATGGAAGTTGCATTGGATCTGAAACTGACAAAGAGACTGACATGCAGTTGTGTGAGGAACTTGTTTTCAAAACTTTGAGGCTTCCACTGCTTTCCTGTCTATCACCTATGTACATCCACCCAGAAAAAAAGATTAGTAAGGTTTCAGATGCTTGCGTGGAGGCTGTTGAGGGCACAACACAAGGAGTGATCAGGACTGACTTAGAAGCAGCATTGACGGGTTCAAAGCCTGGGTTGGAAGAGAGTGTAGTGGCCTTTTCTGCTCAAAGTGTTAAGGAAACTAAAAATGGTATTTTTCTAAACAGGAAAAGGAAGGACCTGAACTCGAAAGAAGGTGAATTTCTGACAGTCATAAGTGAATCAAAGAGGAAGAAAGCTCCAAATGCTGAAAACACACCCTCTTCCATGGATAAGGTTAGTCAAAGAGAGACTGGATCTAATCAACAGAAGAAGTCACAGAAAAATTCAAGCCCTATAGTTCCTGCCTTTGAAAGTTTAGGAGATGAGTCTGCTGCTATAAACAAAAATAAGAAAAATGCTCATGCGAAAAAATTGCAGGAAGGAATTGGAGAATCAGAAGACAGATATAGAAAATTCTGTGGCGATATGGGGAAATCAAAAGAAGAAATCCAAAGTCGTCTAGTTGATAAAGTTGTGAAGGGAAAACCTTCCAAACACAATGTGTCTGACAAGAGTTTGCACTCAGAACCACAATTACTGATATATTCAAGTAATGCTCCACCTTCTACATTTAGAAGCATATCTGATGTGGGTCTCACTATTTCTGCTTCTACAATGATAGAAGACAACTGGGTCCTTTGTGAAAAGTGCCAGAAATGGCGTCTTCTTCCAAATGGCATGAATCCTGATAGCTTTCCTGAAGATTGGGACTGTAGCATGCTCAGCTGGCTGTAAGTTTCTTTCTTGTGGTCCTAAGAGTCCTTTGGGTTTAACTTGCATTCCTTATGATAACACAATACACAAAATCATATACATTGTGGATGATGATACAGAGATTTATGTTGCTTACAGTACTTAATTTGATGTCGAAAACTTGAAATTAAAAGGTTACTTTGCATTTGTCTTCCGAAGTATGTATTGTTTGAAGTTTCCGCCATTGAGAAGAAAAAATCAAGCAACTCCTTAGTTTGCTGCAGGAAGATAACATCTTTCTTTTTTGCTATCTCACTCTCGATGCTATCTATAATTATCTTCCTTTCTTAGAAAGACCTCATGGAACATCCTGATCAGAGTGATAGTGTACTTTATTTTCTCATCAGTATTTCTGTTTAGTTAAATTTGATCCCCTTCTCTCCAAAATTGTTCTCTCCTAGGCCTGGTATGAATTGTTGTACGATTCATCAAGATTTAACTACAGAAGCGGTACTGAGAATGCATCGAGCTCCTTCTATAGAAATTCAGAAGGCAATGAATAGAAATCCTGGCAGTACAATTTTGGTGTGTAATGGTGAAATCCTTGAAAACCTCGGTAAGGAAAAGGAGAGGAAGAGCCTAAAGGAAATTGCTAGCAGAAAAGATAAAGAGATGCATAACAATCTTCCTTTGGTAAGCGAACCAGATTCTAAGCATCTTACCAAGTCAAATGACTCAAGCTTAGATGGAAGCAAAATTAAGCAGAATGACACATGGAGACTGTTGAATCAGCTATCTGGTGAAGGTATTGTTTCTGAAATAGATCAATCTACTGTATTTATTATTTCTTTTTGGTTAAACTATATGACACCCTTGATAAAACTTGCACCACAGGAGAAATGAAGATGGAAAGGGATCTTGATCGGGAACTCTGTGGAACTTCAAAGAAACCGAAAACTGGAGAATCACGATGTTTTGTTGTAGATCAATCTAGATCTGAAAAAATTCTGAAAGGTGTAGCTTCTGATAAAACGGAGCTGACTCAAGCCTTTGTTACAGAAGATGACTACTGACTAGGAGTCACAGGCAGCATAACAAACCAGGTCACGGAAGCATGTTAGGCCAACTTCATTCAATGGTGGAAGCGACCTCCGAGCAATGAAGTAACGATCAAGGTAGTGGAAGAAGCGGGATAGCCATCTAACCATCACTTTATGGTTAGACCATCTCTTAACAAGCTCTCTCAGCATATATTCGTCATGCTTCTCCCTCAGAGCAGGCAAAACCTAACCACACACAACAATGTAAAATTGTTTACTCCACTTAAGAAACAAGTTTTCAAGTACAAACTACGACGAACAATTCCACAATCAAGTCCCTTACTTTTTGGCACCAGACATTCTGCCATATTACATCTGTTGGTTCTGTTTTGGAAAGAGGAAACTAAAGGACAATCAAGAGGTTGGAGGTCATGTAGTGGACTTAACTGGGAACACAGCTAAAAAGCAGAAGAGGCTTAGGGTCTCTAGTTCTGCTGGAAAGGAATCAGATGGTGATAGTGTTAATGCTGTTTTGGACAGAAGAGTTAGCCAGGCAAGTGATAAATATTGTGCTTCTCATCCGGATTCCATGGCAACTGCTTCGAGCTCGTTTAAGAGTTTTGGCTCTCGTAAAACCAAAACTAATATTCAGGAAGCCAAAGGCTCACCAATTGGATTGTCACCGTTGAAGATGTTAGACACAGATAAGGGAAGAAGGAACCACTCAGAAAAGGATGAGTATCGTGATACCAAGTTCAGGGCTAGTTCTGGGGTAAAGAGATGGTCAAATGGTGAGAGAGACCACCATGATCAGAAGAAAAAACTTGATGAGTTAGATGGGAGTTCTCATTATTCTGGGAAGCTGAAAACTGAACCGTCATTCAACAAAAATAGACCGTATGGTGAGAACTGTACGAGGGATAAATCCCAATGGAAGGATTCAGGAGAGTTGTTATCCATACCGACTAACAAAAAGAACCAGGACATGGTTTTCATAAGTGACTTGCAAGATGATGCTACAGCTGGTGAAGTAAGATCAGATAAATGTAGGAGCAAGAAAACACCTTTAGGAAAAGTGTCCATTGAGAGTTGTAAAGATGATACAAGAGTGTGTCAGAATTTTAATGCTATCTCAGATGCAAATGGCAGTCGATATTATGCATCTACTCAGAAGCCTGAAACCACCAAAACTATCCCAATCGTTCAAGGGGAAATGGTCTCTGGAAAAAGAAAAAAGAAATCGGTTCAGCCTTCTGGTGCAGGTCAAGTTGAAGTCTTGGGTCAAGGCAGTGATGTATTGAACACCAAAACACAAATAATAGGGCATGGTGATAATGTAGCACATGATAAATGTGTAAGAAACTCCAACCCAAATGGCAGTAAGATGAAAGGTCATGATGACATAAGCTCTTTGAAAAAGGGATCCACAAGTCAGGCTGTCTCCAACTCTATCAAAGAGGCCACAGACTTGAAACATATGGCTGATCGCCTAAAGGTTTGATGTAGTGTTTAATTAATGCTTCAATGTTTTTTTGGTTCTCTCCTCAGGCTGTAACACAGTGATGTTTTGTAGAATGCTGGGTCGAATCGCGAGAGTACAAGTTTTTACTTTCAGGCAGCACTCAAGTTTCTCTATGGTGCCTCCCTTTTGGAATCTTCTTCCGGACATTCCAAGCATAAGAGCAGTGCTAGATCAAGACAAATTTATGATAGCACTGCAAAACTTTGCAAGTAAGTTTGGCATCCAGTGATACATTTCTGCTCTATTTGTGAATTGTTATGTTTTATTTGTTATTTGGCGAGCCCATTGAGAAAATGAAAATGTGAACCCATTGTATCTCCTGTAGGTTTCCTGATTAGCGAGTCACTGATGTCCTGAATCCTCCTTTCTCCTTTTGGTTGTCCACGTGGATTCCTCTCTTCCTTTTTTTCTACCCTCTCCTATTTCTGTGATCTTGAATGGCTCTTTTGCTGGGTTGTCCAGAGGTCATCTTCATTCCTCAGAGGTTTCTGCTGCATACATTTGAGATAGAGCAATAGGACACAACTTTTTCTTAAACTCCCTACTTTGCCCCATTTGTGGTATTTATTATTTTTTTCTTTCTTCTCCTTTCCTTTTACAGCTCTCCATTTCCGGACCTGTTACAGATCCCTTTCAAAGAAAATACTTTAGTGGCAGCATTTCATTATTACAGTACTTATTCATATTGGCATTTCATTGTTATCCAAGATTTGTCATCTGTTTGGCAACTCTTTCTAGCTAGTGAAGTTGAAAACTGTTGTTGAACACTGCCTAATTTTACGGATTTATACTGTTTGTTTAATCAGATTTTGTGCTCGTGAATATGAGAAATATAAAGACATGGGAGCCGCTGCTCTGGCTTACAAATGCATGGAAGTAGCCTATCTAAGGATGATTTATTCCTCCCGTGACAGCACGAGCAGATACAGATACGAGTTGCAAGCCGCCTTGCAAGTGATTCCTTCAGGTATTAAGAAAAATAAGCCACTTTCTAATTATAATTCAGGGACATATAGGCCCTATTGACGTTCATTATGACTTCTGGATGGTGTTGAGATTTCAGGGACTATTTTAATTTTATTTTGATGAACACCTTGCTCTGTGGTTTTAGAGGGCTTTCTTGTGTTTGCCTTATGAAGTTCATATAGTTAGTACATGCACAGAAAGTTTGTTGGCCATGTATGCTATGGATGAACAATATGCCAATCCATGTCAGGGATTTGAAATACTTGAAATACTTGGATGCCCGTTGGTTTTTAATACAAATAAGTAAAAGGTGCTACTTCTGCTGAGTAGGTTAAGATTTGAGCAGATTCCAGGATTGGTTTTCTCTTACCTACACCTTATTTTTCCAAGAATTTTCTTACTTTTTGGCACCAGACATTCTGCCATATTACATCTGTTGGTTCTGTTTTGTTAGTCGTGATTCTGATGAATTTGATTCCATCCTGTCTGGGTTTCGTTTAGGTGAATCTCTTTCTTCTGCCACCGATGTTAAAAACTTAAGCCACACATCCCCAGCAGAAAAGGCTTCCTCCTCTTATGTTGTGAGATCTCCTAAAGTTACTGGAAACCAGTTTATCTCTTCAGAAAGCCATTTTTATCTTTCCCAGCTTTTGGCATTTGTAAGTTCATCTATGCTGTTTCCATGATGTGGTGCTGTCTGAAATTTATATTTTTTCTAGGATTCTGTCACTAATATCAGTAGCTGCTTGATGGTTTACAGTCACAAAATGCCATTTCTGCAATGGATGCTTCAAGAAAAGCACAGGTGGCTCTGGGGGCTGCAAAAGGGAAATCGGTTGATGTGCATTACGATAGTGATGGTATTTCATCCATCAAAAGAGCCCTTGATTTCAACTTTCAGGACATGGAGGGATTGCTGCTTGTGGTTCGCCTTGCAATGGAAGCGATCAACCGTTGAAAATAATCTCACCTTTCCCTGTGGAATAACTTTTTTCCGGTTGACATGGTTTTCGAATTCTCACGCTACACAGGAAAACCTTCAGGTTGGCACCCTAGAGCTTCAACTCTTTTCTGACAGGTCGAGGACAGAAGATAGAACTTGTTGGTTATAATTCTTCACTACATCAGTGTATGTATAGTATCGGCATATGATAGGCGAGAGAGATATCCGAAGAAAAAAGGAATCTGGTCTTGTATAATTTAGGTGTACTGCCAAAGAAGATTTTGTGTAGATAGAGAAATATAGGGCTCTGGACCAAAGGTTCCCACTTCTGTAGCATTTTTCGTAGGGGTTTTCGCTTTTCAACCCCACGAATTCATCCATCCATCTGTAAAACTTTCAGTATGTTATTTTGCTGGATTGGCATTCAGAAACAGAAGACTGTCCATAACCCAACCGAATATATGTCTGATTCATCCAACATTGAGAAACAATAAACAACAGTAACACGACAATAATCTTGAAACATTTCACTCCTTTTTCATCCTCGTACCGAATTGAAACTGTCTAAAGCTTAGGGGGGGATGTTACAGAAACAAGCAGAGGCCCTCAAGACCCAAACCCAGACAAAAAAAGGCACAAAGATAATTTCGAGTTATTTCTTTATAAGAATATACAGACGGATATTCCTCGCCCCCAAAAGCTTCAACTGCTGCCCAAATCACATACCCGTCTCCGTCAAAGCCGTTGTTGTATATTTGTCTAAGCCAAGTACCTAAACATGTTCGGGTTCTCCTTGTCCCTCTCCAAATAGTCTCGGGTTATCAAATCCTCCATCCGCTTCTTGATTGCCTTGATATCGGGCTGCCATTACAAAAAACACGAGCGGAAAACCAAGTCATCAATGTTAAGTTCTTAGTCTATTCATTAATCTCCAATGATCCTGCAGGCATGACCGTTTTTTTTTGGGGGGCAGACTTTGGTTGAGTATTCTATGTATGTACCTTGAACATTCGGCTCAGCTGCTCAACACATTCAGAAACCAGCTGTTGGTGTCCCAATACCTTCCTACTCTTCATGATCCGGACAATGGCAGCATCAATTGCATAGCGTCTGTCTTTGTCAACATCTTCAACAACTTTCTTCCGTTCATCCACTGGAGGAAGAGGGATCTGTGGTCGGAGCAACGTTCAGAAACATTCATCATTTTTCTCAAATCTCCTTCGGTATCAAGAGAACATCACAAAATCACACAAAGAAAAGAACAGTACTTGGAGTAACATTTCAGACCTTTATCCTCCTCATTCTGTCAGTGAATTTGGAATTAAATTCAAAGACATCTGTCTGGGAAACAGTTTTGATGCTTGGCTCCTTGGTTAGGATTTTGTACTTAGCACATGATAAGGAATGCAGCAATCTGACCAGATCTTCATGGCTCAAGTTCAGTTGATTCATGATCTCAGTATAGCTCAATCTGTCCGATGAGTTGAACAGCAAAAGCACAGCAGCCTGAAAGACAAATACATACATACATACATACATACATATATATATTATATATATAACTGACATTCGGCACTGGAAACTGAATATATACCAATAAAAAAACCCATAGTTCCTCATAAACCCAAACCAAATCGGAAAACCAGACAAAAGATACCTGGTAGGTGGACACGATCAACTCGATGGGCTTCTGATCAAATTTCCCATTAATATGACAAGTTCCCAGTGAATAAATCCAAGTAAGCTTCCTGTGTTTTGTTTTTGTTTCATAGAAACCCTTAAAAACTTCTACACACTTGACCTGAACCAACAAATAAGAGAACAAAATCATCAGAAGCCTTTACTACCATTTGGCCAAGAAGATTTATGTCAAATCATCGGAGTGAAAATATTCCTTCCGAGATATAAAACTAATTGATTACCATTTCGCTGGGAAGATTTATGTCAAATGATTTGTAACTTGGCCAAAAACCAGTAGTAAGGACAGTGACTGTCAAATCAATCCCCGGGTTTGCAGCAGGGTTGTTGGCTAGATACTCCTCAAAGTTGTTCTGATTTTCTCTTGCCAATGTCAGATCCGTCACCTATAACCAGATTAATGACCACGGGATGCATATTTATTCAGGCCAACTAACATTTAAAGGCGAAGAAATACAGGGGCAACTCATCTAACTCACCATGCCTTCCATCTTAGAGGTAAACTGCCCACCACACTGTTGCTTGAGCTTTGTAAGAATACTTCTCTCATGATCATCATTAGCACTGCGATCAAATAAGAGCCGGCGGGCAAGCTTTTTCCTGCCAACAGTAGGAAGAACCGGCTAAGCATGCAACCCATTCATAAAATTTTTGTCATTCCAATACTATTTTGGATGGCATCACGCCAAATCATTGACATAAAATCAACATTTTAAAAAGCAAGATCAGAAGTTGATATGTTACCTATAAAACTCCGCAAAAAGATCTTTGTCACTTATATAAGCAAGCAACTTGACCACCTGAAAAATTCAATACAAACTTCAGCACCAATACCAGGAGAAAGGAGACTGAACTAAAAAAAGAAATATTAAAATATCTACCTTCTCAAGTGTATCTTCAATGGCTTCATCACTTAGCTTCTCACTTCCTCCCTTCTTGAGGATATTATCACAAAATGTTGCAAGTAATTCTGCACTGGAACTTCCAGCAACTGTTTTGTTACAGAAAATCTCAAATGCCTCTTTCAAAGCCTACAAGGATTCGAAATCTTTAAGTAACAGATACAGCAACAGGATAAACACATGATAAGGGCTTGAAAATGCAAATCAAACCTTATGGAAGAGGGTATGGTTCTGGAAACATTCAGTGACATAGACCATGTATTTATCATGTAGTTCAATCACTTTTCTGATAAGAACCTGAAACCACAAAAAACAAAGTGAATCATTAAATTCAAACAAATTTTTAAATTCAAACAAAATTTGTCCCATAAATCAGGTCCAGAAATAAAAAAATCAGGCCAGGATGTCCACCTGTTCCTGCACACCAGCAGTACTTGCAGCCTGTGGAATGAAAATTCTTAGAAACCACAAAATAAAGTAGCACATCTATTTTGCAAATCTGAATATACAAAGATGCATATGGAGAATCGGCTTAAAAATTTGTTGGGAACAAACACCTATTCAGTAAATTCTTACTCAAACACAGGAACTTGAAAATACCATGGAATAACTTTTAAATAGTTAAAAAAGAAGCCCTGAGTTACATCCTTACAAATTCCTCAGAAAGAATTAAAGTACTAAGCTCCCTCACCAATTCATAATCAGAAGTCTGAATCATCCAGAATAGACAAGTTCAATTCATACTTTTAAGATAAATGAGATATTTTAAGGGGGTTAAGTTAAGCATACAGTTTTGATTGAAACAGTTACAGTATGTGACTCCGAGAGAATTCTGCACAGATAGTGAGAAAAAAATACGAACCTGATTAGTAGCTGCATCCTCGGCATGTTGGACAAGTGCATTGCCCTCTGCAGTGACATGCTGTCACAATGTCCCGGATCAGATTGTGTTAATAACTTACATGAATGCAAACAGGAAGAGGAGGATAGCCCTCTGCTAAAGCAAACAAAGGATAAAGCAGATAAAATCTAGGAAAGAAACCTGCTTAAAGATATTAGCAACAGGTTCCAATCCTCGCGGAATTTTATGGTAAAGCCTGTACATCCTGGATAGATCGTCCACCTGAATGCAAGTAGAGACGCCAAATAAATAAAGAATTCAATGCACCGGTTAATGAACAAAACAAACCACCAAAGCTGGTTTACCTTGTCATCTCTTAGCAATGCACGGCACCCTGAATGCTCTTTTTCTAGAAGCTGTGTTGCAAACACCACCAATAATTCTTGTTGCACTTTCTACATTCATAGATAAACAAACAAGTCAATAGAGAGAGTGAGAGACATCAATGTTTAAGGCAGAAGACTTCGACTTAAGCACCAGTGCTCTTCAGGAAAAATGAAGAACAGAAGCATCTGACATGTGCGGAAAATACAAGCTATTCAGACCACTTACAACACACCGTATTATATTTTGTCAATGATACAGGCATAATGATATAAAAAACACATTGCACATAACGTCATAACCTACCTCAACCAATTTAGGCTCACTACTTGAATGAAGATAATGCGAGACTCTCTCCCTCTCCTTCTTTAAACATTCCTCAGACTGCAACATAAATGTACCGAGTGTTAAATATCATTTCCCAAATGAAATTGGAAAGCAAGCTGTTAAGGAACATGCCTTTAGCATGTAATCAGGGCAAGAATCCTCCTGAATCCAGCTTGATGCTTTACGAGAATAGTAAGAAGCAGTATCTTGAAGCATGTAGGTTTCGAAATCTTCTTCATATCTATCCATCTGCCCCATTCCTATTTCAACATAGATATCCAACACGTTTTTCAACAATGCCCTGTCAATCTGCTCCCCCTCACGTTCTTTGTCAATCTGACACCAAACCTAGTATGTTAGAATTTTCCTAAAATAGAAAACCAAAGTTGGGTATTATTACATCACTAAATTGCAGAATATCATACTTACAAGTGCTATCACAGCATCTTTGACCTTGGAATGCAGCTCGTTATAAACCTGCATCATATAAAAGAACAGTTAAAACCTACGTAGTACAATGCATGACTACTGACTAGGAGTCACAGGCAGCATAACAAACCAGGTCACGGAAGCATGTTAGGCCAACTTCATTCAATGGTGGAAGCGACCTCCGAGCAATGAAGTAACGATCAAGGTAGTGGAAGAAGCGGGATAGCCATCTAACCATCACTTTATGGTTAGACCATCTCTTAACAAGCTCTCTCAGCATATATTCGTCATGCTTCTCCCTCAGAGCAGGCAAAACCTAACCACACACAACAATGTAAAATTGTTTACTCCACTTAAGAAACAAGTTTTCAAGTACAAACTACGACGAACAATTCCACAATCAAGTCCAAACTTTGGCATCCACAAATGAAGCAGTGGTGGTAAGAAACTCCACATGAAGTCTAAGAAAAAATGTAAACGGAACTTACCGTTGAATTTATATATTCCTCAAAAGCTTCACGATACTTGTCATATAGCTGCTGTGAATAATCATGAGGCGGCTTCTGGGTACACATATTGTAAATAGTCCTGTAAATCACGGAAAATCAACTACGGTCAGTATCAATTACAACCAAGCAACCATAATAGACCATTGAACAAAAGATAGTAACGGTTACGTATAAAGCATCATATATTGCTCAGAGTCAAAAGCTGGCTCTGGCAGTCCTTCCAGAATCCTTTTCAGCTTGGTGATACCAGTCTGCATGTAGTCCCATCCTTGCTCCAAGTCAATTGTCTTGCGTTCCATATTTTAGAATAATGCTTTATGCTCTCCTGAAACTGTCTTCAAGATTATGATGGAAGCCCACTGATTCAGTCAATAAAACCAGAATAGAGATAAGATTCAAGATACACGAAGAACAAGAAAATCAACTCTTTAGCGGTTACAATAACACATGAGAAACATATCGATTAAAAGACAATGCTATAACAAACTAAAGCTACCAGCTTGCCCCGAACAAACACGGTTTTATGCATCAACGACGATGCTCCAACCAGAATTCACATGAGAGAATATAACGTACAAGACACCATTCCGAAACAAACACCAATCAGTATAATTATCCATAAATTGCGCAGTAACAATGCACGCCGATGGAACCCGATAATCTCGATCCCACAATATCCAAACTATATACACACACGCGAACACACTTGAGAGAAAATAAGAGGAATCCGTGAGATAATATAACTAGCAACAAAAAAGTAAGCACCGGAACATGTAAAGGATGTGCGATCATAAACCCTAAACAAACGAGAAATCACGCACCCAAATACCAAGATGGTAACGATTCCGATTCGAGGGGATCGAGAGAGCAGAGAGATCAGGGTTTTCGCAGGAGAAAAAACCCTAGAAAGAGATCAGAGAGAACCGGAGCTGAGAAGAAGGCGGTGAAGGAAAGAGAGACCAGGACGACGATGTCAGGAATTCCTTTCCATCTCTGTTTTTTATCTCCCCTTTATTTTATTTTTTTTGGGGTACATTTATTTATGCAAATTTTCCTTTTTTTTCCTTTCCACGTTAATTTATTTAAAAAAAATAAGCGATGTATTATTTTTTTTTTAGGGAACAGATCTACATTACTTCTGCCAAAACGCGGCGTTTTGGTGCTCCTTTTAGCGGCAGCTACTAATATTATAGTCTTCTCCGTCTCAATTTCTTTGGTTCTTCTAATTCAAGAACGGAACCCTAAACGTTACTATCTTCTTCGAATTTCGAATCATGCTCCATTGCTCCTGCAATTTCTGCTGTTTTCTCCACGTTCAAATCACTGATTTTCAGCCGAAGTTCCGTTATGTAGGCTCTGAGTTCGTGTGGCGCTTTGGTCTTCGAGCTTTCGGTCGGCGGCCATGGACGCGTTCAAGGAGGAGATAGAAATCGGGAGCTCAGCGGATTTGTTTGAGGGGATACTGAATTCGCACACAACGCGAGCTCACCGGCGTTAATCCCTCTCGCCCAAGAAATGGTGTTCTGGTGATCTTTTGTCGGCGATGGTTTGGATTCGGATTTCTGTTTCTTCTATCGCTTTCTTCGCTGATACGGTAAAAGGGATTTACCGTGGATCCTTAGACGACACAAATTGAGTCGAAAACTCTGGGAATCGGTTCTTGGGATCGAAAATCACTTCGTTCTCGGCTATAATTCTAGGAATGGAGAATTCCAATTGGTATTGGCTGAGAAGGAAAAAGCATACGCCTTTGTGTTCACATGGCCCTGTAATTTATCGCAGCCGGTTCCTCGCAAAATGCGTAGATTGTAACCATCACCGCCCTCGCTACAGAACTCTGCGACAGAGAAACCGAAACGAGAAAGAGGGAAAACTTCAATGGCTCAGTCGAGATTTAAAATCGCGGCGGAGATTTATAGATGACGAGAGCATTTGGGTTACGTTTTTGGACTAGAATGTAAAATTAGTAACTATCTGGTAAATTTATATGAAATATAAAAAATGTGGGATTATTCTGTAATTGTATAGATGAGAAATATTTGGGCCGAAGAAAAAAGCCCATTACGACCCAAGGGCAACATTGTGTGGATTACCCGTAACCGCAGCATGCAGGAGGAAATCCGGTGCGAAGGGAACATTCCGGCGAGATCGATTTGAAGGGGTACGGCAGATGTGGCGGCGGAGTAACATTCCGGTGACAGCTTTCTCCTACTGAAATTTGTTTACTCGTACCTTCGCGGTTGTATTTTCTAATATATTCAGTTGGTTTTCCTTTTACTTTTGCCGTTGGATTCTCAGGGTAACAGAGATTCTGATCAGAGCATTTCCGGTGATGACTGCTTTCTCATCATAATTTTGCGTCGAGATTTTAGCTTTTTATGCCTTTGATGGCCCATTGGGTGTTGCTCTTGTTGTTGTCCGATTTTCAGAGGAGGATGAAGAGTACGGCAACGGCGATTTTGGAGGAAATGATATGTCGCCAAGTGGGAATTCGAGGGAAGAAGTAGGTGTAGTCGCAAATCGATGATCATTGTATATCTCGTACTTTGTTTATTCAGCTTGACCCGGGAACCCGTTCGAAGGTTATGCAGCTCTTGTGATTTGCTTTGATAAAATTCTCAGCGGAAAGAAGGGGAACGACTGAATTTGAGTTTTGTCAATAAATTTGCATCGGATGTAGATATGATATGTTTGAAGATGGAACAATGGAAACTTAACTTCAGCATAATTGGGATATCCAAAACTAGTCTCATGGCTTGTGCATGGTTGAATTCTTGGCAGCATCTAGAAATATTCCATCTTTATGTTGTGTTATTTGATTTGATTGAACTGCAGGTAAGAAAGCTATGATATGTCTGAAGCTGTGATCTTTTTAGTTTGTGATTTATAGGAGAGGCACTTGGGAAATTTTACTCAATAGTCTTAGCTCGAGGAATTTTGTATCTGAAGTTCTAGACACTGATTTTGTGGTGTGAAGTTTGATCATGGTTTCTTCCTTTATTTTAGGGAGGTTTACTACTTCAGACAAGGCTTGAGAATCTCATAGGTATATGTATATCCAGTTTGCTGTTGCCTCCTTTATGGGGTTTCCATTCCTTCCGTCTCATAACTTATAGAAAGGGAAATGCTTTGACGGAAATGCTGTGATGCTATTTCCAGGTTGTGGGGAAGTAAATTATGCTAGTCAGACTGGCAACTTATCTCCTGAGGCATCTGTGAGTCCGCTTTTATCACATTCCTTGCGTCTTATGTTTACACTGATGCTGCAACGCTGCATTGTCAGTCGCAGAAGAGCCTCCCTCTTGAGGATGATGTAGAAGTTCCTGATTCCCAAGAGGAGAGTAACTTTGCTCCTTTGAGAAAACCACGATCCACATGCATCTCTGATGCAGAAAGTGTCTCTGATGATGAGGTTACTACTCAGAACTGGGGGGGGGGGGGTAATCAAATTTGGCTATTCTAAGTTTTATTGAACTGATTACAATTTTGTCCCAAAAAGTTTCAATGACTTGGCATGCTAAATCACACTATTATGGTGATTATCATTGCCTTCAGATTCCACAATACAGCAAAATGACAACATGGTCAACTGTCACTAAGGAAACCAAGGCGCTAATTCATTTGAATGGTGATGCTTCATTCTCATTGTCCCGTTCATCTGGATCTAAAACCAAGAGATGTAATAAAGGTATTTCTTTCAACCAAAAACTGTCCTTTGAATATCTCTAAAAGAAAAGAGAGGAGTGTACGAAATGAGACCTGAAGAAACATATCATAAGTGCATAAACATTTTGAAAACCCTCGAGTTTTTTGTTTTTTTAATGTCTTGCAGTTGTCAAAGACCAAGTGCGGCGAAAGTTTTCATTTCATTCACATACTCATGGAGAAATGTCCTCCAAGATAAATGGAATACCTGAAAATCTGGAAACTTGTGATCAGGTGGTGGAAGAGGATCCAATTGCTGACTGCCTCCATGGTTTCGATGAAGAAACAGAAAACAGAGATGGTGTTACTGTTTCTGCATCAAGGGTGATTCAGTATGGATGCGCTGACCATGCAATATCAAAGCTTTTGGATAGTCTTCCAGATACAAGCAGAGCGACAAAACGAAGTGTTGATCCGGTGATTTGCTTCTTCAATGCACTAGTTATTGTTTTGTCCAGCTGTATGTTTCACTGATATCCCTTGTGCTCCAGTATTGCAGACGCAGAAGAAGCCGATTGAAGTATGCTCATAAAGGAAGTTCTTCTACATTACAAGATAGAGCCACTGACGATGAACTTCCTGGTCCCATGGATAGTGAATCGTCAAGTGATTATGAGGTTTTTTCCCTGGATGTTCTGGTGATATTTTTAGCTCTTCATAAAAAGCTATCTGCTACATGATTCAAATATTATTATTTTGTTTCACAGCCTAGATATCAAAGCTCAGTGCCAGATACTCGGAACCAGAAGAAAAAATTTCTTGGAGACCAGTTTAATGAAGCATTAAAAGCTGCTTCTTTGAGCAATGGAGGCCAGTTGTTCACTTCACCTTATCTATCCGGGTAACCAAAGTGGTTACAGCTTTCCCGCTCCAGATTTAAAGCATTATACAAAACTAAAACCCAAGTTGTTGTGTTGATCATAGCAGCTGTGGTCTATATGGAAAGTTACAGCAAGTCATAAAACGAGAGAGAGAAGAAGAGATGGAGATTTTGAAGACTTTACAGGTTGGAGTTGGACAAAGAGGTAAAGCGGCATTACATCAATAAGCCAGGGCTTAGTCTGGATATTTTTGCCAGTGTATTTATCATCTACTCCTTTCCTTTCCCATTCAGATGCATGGAGGTATGTTGATGTAAGGATACTGTCAAGAGGCCTGGAGGCACGGCTGGTGGTTTGCAAATGCTCTGCTGTGAATGATGTTGAGGTCTCTCTCTCTCTCGATGCATAGCTGTTTTGAACGATTGTTGATATGCAAATGCTTTTAGAAGTGTGGAAGACAAGTCTAAGATACAGAACCTCTCAGGTCACCCATCTAATTGTGCAGGACTCCCCATTGCTCAAGAACTCCCGAGTAGGAAAGGAGACAACTATCATTTTTAGTACAAAAGTTTGCTCGGATGTTGATATTGAAGTCGGGAGCGTCATCCGCATATATTCCCCATGGTTCGCATGTTTCTCATGCCATCAGTCCTCATTTTCCTTTTCCATTGTTAATTAACCCGAGATTTCGTGGTTTATTTTTAACTGTCAACAGGAAGGAGGTTGAACTGAAGAACAAGAACAAGGAGGTGATTATTCTCTGTTCATATTTCTCCATCATGTAACGCAAGACAGAATTTATCAGCATATCACAAATTTTGTATCATTCATGAGCTTCTCTAGTTTCCCCTTAAAACCCTGAAAGCATTGGTCGCTATTTATACTGAAGTCGCAGCCTTTAATCTCAATTCGGACAAAGGATTCGACTTTGGCCAAAAAGAAAAGGCATCAGAATTTGATGGTAAGTATCATAATTTTACGAATTTCGTCTGTCTATCACTAGACGAGACTTGATTTATATGAAGAACTTGAAGGTCACCCTATGTGTCAGAGGGGAAAACAGGACAAGTGACAGGTATACATATAAAAAACTGCTATTATAATGGTAATGGTCCATTTGAGTCACGAGAAGCACTGGGGATTGGTCTCATGGCAATGTCCGGAACAGAACAAAAATGGAGAAGATAGCATTTAGGAACAAAACACAGAGCTCTGTTTTGTTCATTTGTAAGATTTCCCCATCCTAAAATGCTTGGCCACCAAAATTTCCCCACTTTCCTTTTTCCTATATAGATATTTTTATTTGTACCTTTTATCTCCCAATAATATTTTTTTTATAAATTTCAAGAACTTGGGTTTGCATTTTGTTTGGGTTTTCCATGGGCTGAGCTTTAAAGATAACACCATTGTAATGGGCCTTTAGAAAGCCCAATTTTCCTGCAGCCTTGTCTACTAAATACAACACCATTGTATTTTGCCATTTTGGTGACCGCTGAAAATATAGGTTGGCAGATAATGAATCTGAATTTTTATTTCGTTTTTTCTCTAATAATAATTAATTATTATTATTTTTATTGTTTATATCGTGCATGAGGTTTTGCCCACACCAACTCCCCCCCTCCCCCCCCATAATTACGCCTTTACCATCTCTACATATGCACACACACATGTATGAGCCAGCCACCAGATATATAAGATGTGTATGCATGTATATATAATATGTGAGAATTTTAAAGGCAAACCATTAGTATGTATATTTTCTTCCCGTTGGGAGGACGTGGAAATACGCCTTAGTTATCTTTTGCGTCAAGTGGATTTATTTTTAAAATTTTTAAATTTTGACCAGTCATAATATATATATATATATATATATGTATGCATGTATGTGTGTGTATCCCACTGTATGGATCGAGACATACAATTACAAAGGAGTTGCGGTGTTAATATTATAAATATAAAAAAATCAAGATAACTAACTAACCTTGCGCTCTCTTCTCTATAATCATTTCAAGAAATCTCTCTCGTTTTGTTTCTCTCTCTAGAAACCAAACCAGCTCTCTTCTTGGATCAAGAGAAAGGACGAGACTTTCTTGGCGAGAGAGAGAGAGTGACCGAAGATATGGTGGAGACGCGTCGCAGCTCGTTGGCCACGAAGCGGCTCAGTGCCTCGCCGGATTCCTCATCGTCTCAACCCTCCAAGCGATCTAGGGTAAGATCGATACTAACGTTGCTTCTCTTACTTCTGTCCGTGTCTTTGTCGGGATTCAAGTTTTTCTCTCCCTCGGATTTGAATCTGGGTTTATGACTTTTCTGCTGATCTTGATTCGTTTGTTAACCATAGACGTCGGCGTCGGCGGGTTCATCGTCCACCAGCGAGGTGCCGATCGAAAATCAGGGACCGACTTCGGATCCTGGATCAGACTCTGGAGAGCCGGAATCGCTGTCCCTTCATCCGCAGACTGTGGATGCGCCGAAACCCGTTACTTCTGATGTCACGCCGTTGGAGAACAATACTGAGACGGACGCTAGCGCAGAAGCCGAGGTCTTGGTGACACCAACGACCACAGGTTCGATCTTTTTCTGCTCTTGCATGCTCTCTCTGTTCGAGTTTCTCTCCAAAACTCGTCTCCTTTTTCATGGGTTATGTGATTTTGCGTTTCATATGGTTTTACTTGGGGTTTTGGTGAAGTGTTGGTGGATGCGAAGAAACCGAAGGCGGCGAAGAAGAGGGCTGGAAAGGCTCCATGGGGCAAGCTGCTGTCTCAGTGTTCTAAGGTGGGTTTTCAATTTTGGTCGGTTTATATATTGTCTGAAAGTTTTTACCAAGGGCTTTGTGGTTTGCAAATGTATAGGGCTTATACGGTGAGAAACTGTGTTTAGACAGTCTCTAAACGGTTTTGGTTGTTTAGGGGTTTAACCGTAGTTATCATCATGTCTTATTTGCGTCTTTTTAGCGCATATGCCTTTTCTGAAACATCTCATTGCGTTGGAGTCGTTGACTTACTACAAATTTGGACTGCATAATATGCCTTTTCTGATGGGTGGTTTGATCATTTGCATGTTTTATTAATGAACTTCATTTGCACACCCTATTTCAAGAGAGAACTATTGCATTTCGGAATTGGTAATAAAAGTTAAGAAGGATTAGTTATGGACTAGCATTCTTCGGCAAGAAATATGGCTTTTGATCTCCAGATGAGAATATGGAGAGATTTTTATTCATACTATGAATTTCATAGTGCACTGTATGGGTCAATTGCGCTGCTGTAGCAAATGAGGGTGTTCCTGATGTTTGATAAGAGTTCTCAAGTTTCTTGTCGTCTGACTTCAAGAAGTATTTGGTTGTCCTTCCAATCCCTGGCCTTGTTTGCTACGTTGGGTAGGGAATGGTCATAGCTTGCCTGTGAGTTACCTGGTTTTCTCTGTTTTTTGGTTCACGTACTCCAGTTTTCCTGTAAACTTCTCCAAATGGAATGATGTGATGTCTGCTCTTTTACAGAATCCTTATGTTAGAGACTGTTTTAAAGTTCCCATCATAATCCTTGAGACTGTACTTGTTTTGTTTCTGATTATCCTGAGGTTTTCTGCACTTTTATAGAACCCTCATCGTGTCATGAAAGCTCCTGTCTTTACTGTTGGACGCCGTGGTTGTGATTTATCTATAAAAGATTCATCTATTCCCAACACCACTCTTTGCGAACTGAAGCTGTCTGAGGTATGGATATCCGGTTTAACCATTTTTCTTTTCTTTTACTGTTAAAAAAGGCAAAACACATTTGCTTATGATATAACTTTGATACAGCACGAAGGTACATCAGCTGCATCTCTTGAGATAATTGGAAATGGAGGTATTGTCCAGGTCAATGGAAAGAATTACCATAGGAAAGCTAGTATTCAACTTCGAGGTGGTGATGAGCTGGTCTTCAGCTCCTCTAGGAAACATGCTTATGTATCCTTTTTTAAGATTTTTTATAGATATCATTTCTTTACATTCAGTTGCTGAACATATGCTCTTATTCGTTTTTATGTTATTTGGGTCCACTTGTCATTTCTTGACGGGTGATAAGATATTTCAGCCTCTTAAAGATGATAATCTAGCTACTCAGAATAGAGCTTCTTCATTGAACATTTTTGAAACTCAGAGTGCCCCGTTGAAGATAAGAGCAGGAGACTCCACTGCTGTTGATGGGGCATCTATATTAGCATCTTTATCAAACTACCGTAATTTTCCCCTTCTACCAGTAACTGCTAAACATGTCAAAGTACAGCAAACTCCGGAGGTCCCTGTGGTACCTTCTGGTTGCAATGATTGTATTCCAGACGTTGACATGAATGATGCTGGTAGTATGAATGATCATGCTGCTCTTGCTTCGGCGGAGAAAACTGTTGCTTCAACCTCTGGTGCTGCCATCCAAAATCTGAACTCTGATTGCAACGGAATGGATCCTTGCCAAGAAACTGATGTCGGAAAAGTTCCTGGTTCAGGTTCTGAAATTAGGCCAATCTTGCCCTTGTTTGAGGATCCGTCTTCTGAATTTGATATAAGAGGCAGTATTTCCAAAATACTGGATGACCAAAGGGAAGTCAGGGAACTCCTTAAAGAATTTGACCTTTCAACTGCTTTACTATCAACTCGACGTCAAACATATAAGGACAGTCTGCGAGCAGGAGTACTCAGTCCTCAGAACATGGATGTTTCTTTTGAGAACTTCCCATATTTCCTAAGGTCTGTAGTGTTTTTAATTTCTGTTTAAATCTCTACTTACTGTCTCTTTGTGTCGATTGGTTTTATTTAGAGTTCATATTTTGCATGTTTTCCAACTCTTCATTGTTGGCTTTGAAATATTTATGCTTAGACTTATACCTAAACGAATCCTGAATTGTCGCAGTACTAAAACGAAGGATGTTTTGATAGCTTCAACCTATGTTCATATGAAGTGTGGAAGCAAGTTTGCAAAGTATGCATCAGACTTGTCTACATTGTGTCCCCGTATATTGCTCTCTGGACCAGCTGGTCAGAAGATTCTCTGGACCATTTTTCGTTTTTCTATTTGTTTCTTTCTATTTTCCTGAGAAAGATAGTATGTGGCTTATTTTTAGGGTCTGAGATATATCAGGAAATGTTGGCAAAAGCTCTTGCAAAACATTCTGGGGCCAAATTGATGATTGTCAGTTCTCTTTTGTTGCCTGGGGTAAGTTTTTCTATATCCTCTATTTTTTTTTCCTTCTAAATTCAGCCCATGATTTATCCATTCCAATATTGTTTGGTTTTAAATGTAGATGAAATAATTGTGTTAAAGTGGCACTCTCGCCCTTAGAAAAATAAACTCTCCAACTAATTTAAAAGCGTATTTATCACAGAATTGATAGCCCTTTTCATTTTGGGAATGCATTTTACTGTAATTTCTGGATGATTTCAGAGGTCACTAACCAAGGAAGCTGATTCTTCCAATTCCAAAGAAAGTTTTAGGCGTGAAAGGCTATCTATGCTTGCCAAACGAGCTGTACAGGCTGCGCAAGCTGCTGCCTTGCAGCATAAGAGACCAACTTCAAGTGTTGAGGCTGATATAACAGGTGGTTCAACATTGAGTTCTCAGGCTTTGCCAAAGCAAGAAGTGTCAACTGCAACTTCTAAAAGTTATACATTCAAAACAGGCATAATCTCTTTTCTCCTCTCCTTTAGCTGTTACTTGTTTCACATTTTTCTGTTTTAACTGAAAGAACCTTCATTTTTAGGTGATCGAGTGAAGTTTGTAGGTCCTTCTCCTTCTGTTGCACTTTCTTCTCCTCAAGCCCCCCTGAGGTATTACTTCTATATTTTTTTGTGTGGTGTCTTATCATCAGTTGCAGTCTGCAGCTGTATGTTGTTATCAGAACTCAATTCTTGTCTTTTTCTGCTACTCTATGCAGGGGACCCACAATTGGTTTCCAGGGGAAAGTAGTCCTTGCATTTGAAGGCAATGGCTCTTCAAAGATTGGGGTTAGATTTGATAGGTCGATTCCTGATGGCAATGATCTTGGTGGCCTGTGTGAGGAAGACCATGGTTTCTTTTGTACTGGTAAGTTTCCTGCCATTGTCCCTCAAATTTGAAAAGTTCATCATAGTAACAGTATTCTCGATGCACAGCTAGTTCACTTCGTTTGGATAGTTCTACCAGTGATGATGCTGAGAAACTCGCTATAAATGAAGTCTTTGAGGTGATACCTGCTTCTTTTCTTTTCTTTTATTTTTCCATGTAATTGGATAGTTCGACTATTTCCTTCTAGTTCTAGCTACAGTAGGTGTTAACCTTTTGACTCATGTTGTAGGTTGCATTTGGTGAGAGTGAAAGAGGGTCATTAATATTGTTCCTGAAAGACGTTGAGAAATCTCTGGCAGGGAACACTGATGTGTATACAACCTTGAAGAGTAAACTTGAGAATCTACCTGAGAATGTTGTTGTCATCGCCTCACAAACCCAGCTGGACAGTCGGAAGGAGAAGGTAGGAATTCTATCAAGATCTTACCTATTTCTTTTTTTGGTATATTTGAGATCTGCATGCAATGGTTTGAGCGTTTTTGTTGTTTCATTTTCAGTCCCATCCGGGGGGTTTCTTGTTCACTAAGTTTGGCAGCAGTCAGACAGCATTACTGGACCTCGCTTTTCCGGTATGGTAGCAAACACATAGTACCCTGACTTATCTCTGATCACTAAGTTTGGCAGCAGTCAGACAGCATTGTTCTTGCTGAATTGTATGGGAAGCTGCTGCATGTTTATGCATGTACTTAATGATGTACACTATTTTCTCAATATCTTATGTTTGGTATATCCTTAAGATGCCGTGATCGTGTTACCTGCAGGATAACTTTGGTAGACTGCACGATAGGAGCAAAGAAACACCTAAATCGATGAAACAGATAACCAGGCTTTTCCCGAACAAAGTGGCCATCCAGTTACCTCAGGTCTGAACCTATCTTTCTTTTTTTCTTGTCTGGAGCCATTTTGTGTGGGTATATTTCTTTAGTTTCACTGTCTGTTGCTCTAAAAACATTTCAGGATGAAACTTTGCTGTTGGAGTGGAAGGAGAAACTAGAACGTGATACAGAGATCTTGAAGGCTCGGGCTAATATCACCAGCATTCGTGCAGTGAGTGTTTAATGGTGTTGTTTAACTGCCTAGATGTTCCTGGTCGCTTATATTATTTTTTCTTACAGGTTCTCAGCAGAAATCGTCTAGATTGCCCCGATCTTGAGATCTTGTGCATCAAAGATCAAACCCTTCCACATGAAAGTGGGCCTTCTTCACTCAGTCTTCTTTCTTAATTGATGTCTTTCTGTTGTGATCATATCCATGTCTTATCTGACTTAAAATTATGTTTTTTTAACAGGTGTTGAGAAAATAGTTGGCTGGGCTTTGAGTCACCATTTTATGCACTGTTCTGAACCAACATTCAAAGACAACAAACTTGTCATTTCTGCGGAAAGGTCAGCTTCTTTCTAGAGAGCTCGTTGTGGGTTACATTTATCTGTTTCTTTGTATGGTATGTTTTCAGACAGTTTGAGATATGCTTTCTAGAGAAATCGTTGGATGGTGTAGTGATATTCCCTTGGTAATAATCTTCTGGTGTGTATTGCAGCTTTACATTTGGCCTTGATGTTTTGCATGGGATTCAAAACGAGAGCAAGAGCTTAAAGAAATCCCTGAAAGTAATGCTACAAAACTTTACCTCTTTTTCTCCCAAGCCTATCTCATTGCGGATTTCACAATTGCTGTGTTATGGTGTTAATAACAGGATGTTGTTACTGAGAATGAATTTGAGAAAAAACTCATATCCGATGTCATTCCACCAAGTGATATCGGTGTTTCGTTTGATGATATCGGGGCTTTGGAAAATGTGAAAGACACCTTGAAGGAGCTGGTGATGCTTCCTCTTCAGAGACCCGAATTATTTGGCAAAGGCCAGTTGACGAAGGTACATTTTGTCTGCGACTATATAATATATATATATATATATGTGTGTGTGTGCGTGTGTGTGTGTTGCTCTCTCTTCTTTGATGACTGAATATGCATACATGTGATCTTAATTTATAGCCTACAAAGGGTATACTCTTGTTTGGCCCCCCTGGGACTGGGAAGACAATGCTGGCAAAGGCAGTAGCAACCGAAGCTGGTGCAAACTTCATCAACATATCAATGTCCAGCATTACTTCAAAGGTTCTTTTTCAAACTATGACCACACTGTCTTAGTGAAAGATTCCTTCCTTCTGGATTTGGTTATGCATATGACATTTTTAGGTATTTGCTTTTGCAGTGGTTTGGTGAGGGAGAGAAGTATGTGAAAGCTGTTTTCTCCTTAGCGAGTAAGATTGCTCCGAGCGTCATTTTTGTTGATGAGGTATATGATCAAAAAGAGTTCAGAACCACTTTCTGTGTTCGTTGCAAGTTTTTCATCTATTGAATTTTGGGGATAAAAAAAATGGTTAGGTGGACAGCATGTTGGGAAGGAGGGAAAATCCAGGGGAACATGAGGCGATGCGGAAGATGAAGAATGAGTTCATGATAAATTGGGATGGGTTGCGGACAAAGGACAGGGAACGGGTTTTGGTACTGGCTGCTACCAACCGGCCATTTGACCTTGATGAAGCTGTTATTAGACGCCTTCCCCGGAGGTAGTAGAACATTTACTAGCATTAACTCTTCCTATCTTTGGAACACATCATTAGCTCATGTGTACTGTTGTGCAGGTTGATGGTTAATTTGCCAGATGCAGTGAACAGAGAGAAGATCTTGAGAGTGATTATGTCTAAAGAAGAAATGTCTCCCTACATGGATTTGGAAGCTTTAGCCAATATGACTAACGGCTATTCTGGAAGTGATCTCAAGGTCTCTCTCTCTCTCTTATATATATATCATTCTTCTCGCCCCTGCAAGATCTTGGTATATACACACACACCTCTTAAAAATGCATCACATTTCCCAATAATTATCCGTTTGGGTTGCAGAATCTGTGTGTGACGGCAGCACATCTTCCTATAAGAGAGATACTGGAGAAAGAAAAGAAGGTTGGTTTGGTTTTTTGGTGTCTGTCACTTTTTTTTGGAAGGGGGGGGGGGAGGAGGTTCAAAGCTGGATCAGATTTTTCAGTTGATTCATTACTGTGTGGATGTTTTTTTTTTGTAAACAGGAGAAAAATGCGGCTTTGGCAGAGAACCTCCCGTTGCCACCTTTGTATAGCAGTTCAGACATCCGTCCCCTGACCATGAATGATTTCAGGGTCGCCCATGAACAGGTATCTATATATATATATATATCATCTATATTAGCATCTTTATCAAACTACCGTAATTTTCCCCTTCTACCAGTAACTGCTAAACATGTCAAAGTACAGCAAACTCCGGAGGTCCCTGTGGTACCTTCTGGTTGCAATGATTGTATTCCAGACGTTGACATGAATGATGCTGGTAGTATGAATGATCATGCTGCTCTTGCTTCGGCGGAGAAAACTGTTGCTTCAACCTCTGGTGCTGCCATCCAAAATCTGAACTCTGATTGCAACGGAATGGATCCTTGCCAAGAAACTTATATATATATATATATATATATATATATGTGTGTGCACATATAAGCAGTAAAACATATACCGAAAGTGTGGGGAGAGATTCACTGAGTTTTGATGGATGAAGGTATGTGCGAGTGTGTCGTCGGACTCGTCTAACATGAACGAGCTTCAGCAGTGGAATGAGCTGTACGGAGAAGGCGGTTCCAGGAAGAAGACATCCCTAAGTTACTTCATGTAATGGGGAAGAGAGAGGCTGGATCATATGCAGTTTCTGTCGTCTCAATCAAATCCAATGTTGTACAGAAACAAAAGTTGCTTCCCCTCGCTTTTTTGTTTTCTGTAAGCTCAGAGCCGCCATTCTTTCTCTTTCGCCCAGACTCCTCAGGCTGCTGTTACCATATGTGATGTATATAAGAGGTTCTTCCTCCTCCTCCTCAGGTTTATGGTAAAAATCTCCAAACTCTTTTTTTTGGTTCATTGTGATTTCTTCTGTTTGGCAAAAATCTAACTACGGGATGAGCAAAGATGATCCCACCGCAGGCCAAACCAAAACTGAAGGAATCTGAACTGGAATACTGTTTACCATATATGATGTATATAGAGCTTCTGAGATGATTGAACTGGAATACTTTTTTTGCTGCCTGGCCCTAAGGATATGGCCACATGATTCTGAAACTGAAATGGGCAATGCATGCCTGCCTGCCTGCCTGTCTGGTCCCTGTCCTATCCAATTCGAGATCTTGGTTCCATTGTCAAAGTCTCCATCTTTTTAAATCATATGATGTGTAAAGTTGTTGAATGTGTCCAAGTTTAGGCTTTCCATGGCGGGTGTCTCAAAAAGCTTTTATAATTTTTTTTTATTAATTTATATGTAAAAATGGAAAGATTTCATGTGTTAAAAAAAAGTAGATACTGTGTAAGTTGATGATTAATAGGGCCCTTTGGAATACGTCGTCCATCCGTCACCGGGGGGGAAAAAGTCAACGATTTGACCATCTACTCGCTTCCTTCCAAGGATGCGTGTAAAATTCTTCCCCTTTCCCGGAATCCCTGGTTAATGATTACTGCCCTCATTCAATTCCACGCAACGCCTACTGCCGATCTCTCTCTCTCTCCTCTACACGGCCATGGAGGTTTTGTCTCACTCCTCAAGCTTTCTTCTCCCCTCGATTCCCGTCGATGGAAATCTGCCGCCGACGTACGCACTCGTTGTCCTCAACCAGCGTCTCCCGAAGTTCACTCCTCTTCTATGGGAGCATGGTACCTTCTCTTCTTCTCCTCCTCCGTTTGATTCGTGAGAGAGAACCCTCTCTCTCTCTCTCTCTCTCTCGTGTGGTTAGGGCTTTTTTGTTGTTTTCTCGTCGGTTAGTCAACGGTGTGCGATTTTCTGTGTAGAACAGCAACTCTGCGTCTCTGCGCTGATGGAGGCGCCAATCGTCTCTACGACGATATCCCTCTTTTCTTCCCTCATGAAGACGCTCTCACCATTCGAAACAGGTTCCCCCTCTTTTTTTCTTCTCCTTTTCACTTGTTGATTTCTGATTCCTTCTTACCCGGGTTTTGGATGTTGTTGTTGTTCGCATGCTGGTAATGTTTTGTCTGTTTGTGTTGAACGATTCACACTTTTGGCACCTTGGTTTAGATTGGAGAATCGATCAAACTCGGTACTTTTGATTAGAACGATTGTTCTAAGGGCCTGGTTCTTTTACTGGCCTGCTAAACCTGTAAACTTAGCTTGAAGAAACTAAATTAAGAGGTCTCTCAAATTTGAACACAGAGAAAAGGATTGGGCATGCAAAAGTTTAAAATTTTCATCATCGACTCAGGAATGTGCATCTGTGGCCTATTTGATTTTACTTGTAGTTTATGTTCCTTTCCTTTTTAGCTTTGATTTGTTTTCTTGAAGTTGGGTTTCATAATGTATTTGAATGTTTGGAATCTAATAGGTACAAGCCTGATGTTATCAAGGGAGACATGGACTCTATCCGGCCAGATGTACTCGATTTTTATGTAAGCTTGGTAAGAGCTGTTGCTGTTAGTAGTTTTGTTCTCTGTATATTTCAGTTTAATAAGCTCTTGGTTTATATTATAAGTCTGCCCTTTCTAGCTTTCAAATGAATGCCTGAGTGCTTTTCCTTCATCTGCTTGAATGGGATTCAGCGTCTTCCTTACATATCATGGCTTTTAGCTGATATCACATTGCTTGGTTTCGGTGTTGTGGTGTTATATGAAGTTATGTCCCATTTACATTGCTTTTACCTAATTGTGAGATTCATCACCATCCCCTTCCCCTTGTGTACTTCTCTCTCTCTGGTCCATGAATCTGGCTTGGTCTCTTTTTCAGGGAACTAAAGTTGTAGATGAATCTCATGACCAGGATACCACAGATCTACATAAATGTATCTCATATATCCATGAATCTACTCCCGACCATGAGAAATCCAGGGTAAGTCATGTTTCATGCTCCTATCTTCTGTTTATATAGTTTTCTTCTTCTTTCATGATTCATCTCGAAAATCAAAGTTGTCCTGTTTGTCACTGCAGTATTATGTGGGAATTCCGGTATCGATGCTTGTCTATTAGGTTTCTCTTGTATAATGTGTTTCCCTTACTTTTGAACTGGTAAGCTCCATATTCTTGCGACCGGGGCACTCGGTGGTAGGTTTGATCACGAAGCTGGAAACATCAATGTATTGTACCGGTTCTCGGCCATGAAGATAACCCTGCTATCCGACGATTGTCTCATCCAACTCCTTCCAAAGACTCACGCGCACGAAATACACGTTCTCTCCTCCGTCGAGGGCCCTCACTGCGGGCTTATTCCCATTGGAGCTCCTTCAGCTAAAACCACAACCACAGGACTGCAATGGGATCTCAGTAAGTGTAGCTCCTCTACCCTTCACTTGCACTCTCTCTGGTTAACCTTAATTCATGTGTGTAACGACACGGCAAGCCTTGTGTCTTGTCTTGTCACGTTTTCAGCCGAGACCGAGATGAGATTCGGGGGATTGGTAAGCACATCCAATATGGTTAAAGGGGAGAAAATCACTGTCCAGTCCGACTCGGATCTTCTCTGGACGATTTCCATCAAGCAGCAGTCGTGAAATTTACTACGCACAAAAAGGAAGACAGAAGCCCCTCTGATATTATACTTTGCTTTTGTTAATCCATTGTTACTTTATTAATGAAACGCCTTTTAATACGTAAAGGAAATGTTTGATTCATTGGTTTTGGGCATTCTATTCTATGGTCTTTACTTCAGTTGGGACAATAAAAGCCCATAAAGAACTGTATGTATTCCTTTAATGCCGCTTTTAATTGTGCTTTTACCGCAACGCAATCGTCGCTAAACCCCCAGACGCCACCGTCCTGAAAACGCTGCGTTTGCGTTTAGCTGTAAGTGTTGAATAGGATCCAAACATATCCACAAATTCCTGAATATTTAGAAATAGCTGGGTGTATTAAATGCCTTTCATTGAATATTTAATATAAACATCAAATAAATGATATTCAGATGTAAAAGATCGAACAGCACTAATTAAAACGCCAAATGAAGGGTTCTAATCAAGACCTAAATCTGAACCGTCCAAAGCCTCCTCCTAAATCTCACCGTTGGTTTCTTAATGACCCACCTGTCTAAAATTGAGTAGCCCGTACCTGATTATTTCTCGAGATCTATAAAAACAGTCTATCTGCAGACATTAGTCGATCAGAATAAACCAAAAAAAATTCGCGTCATCGTCGTTGTCCTGTTTTTCTAGGGTTCTAGAGTTTCCTTCTGTTTCCAGTAAACCATGAGGTAATGAAAGAATCCTTGTTCTCCTTCTGCGATGCCCTAGGTTCGCGTTAAATCCTTCGATTTGATGAACCTGGCTTCTCGGATTCTGACGTGTAGGGTTTAGTTGCCTTTTTGTTTTCGATATGAGTTCTCTTGGTAACGAGACGGGTCGTTTCTGATTTTTCGGTCTATTCCGAGTTCTACTTTCTCCGGATGCAAATTAGTTTAGGGTTTTTGGGCTTTTTGGATGGGGCTTATTAGGGTTTATGTTGTCGGTTGGAGGTTATCCATTTTGAGTTTTTCTTATTTAGGGTTTTGGCTCGATGCCTGGGGTTTAATAATACTTTGCAGGTTTAATCAGCTCTCGGATTTTGGCCTTGACCTTGGAACTGAAACTTTGATTTATTGATTTCGTCATTTATATATTTTTCCGGGACTTCCTATGAATGTGGAGATCTCGTATGCTGCATCCCATCCTTGCTGTTTGCTCTACTTTGTTTTTAAAGTTCATTGTTTTTATGTATTTGCAGTCGTCATCCGGAAGTGAAGTGGGCCGAACTAACAGACAAGGTTTTCCTTACCGTACAGTTGGCTGATTCTAAGAATACAAAAGTTAATCTCGATCCAGAGGGAGTCTTCACTTTCTCGGCCAATGCTGGACCCGAAAACCACGTCTATGAACTTAAACTTGAACTTCATGATAAGGTCAATGTGGAGGTGAGTTTTTGATACTATCTCCTCATCTATAGCCTTAATACCTATTACTGTTTCTAGTTTCATGTGACGTGATAAGTACTGCCCTTATCTTTTTTCCTTCCAGCCCAGCAAAATCAATATCGGAGTGAGAAACATATTTTGCATCTTGGAGAAGGCAGAGCCGAAACGGTGGGAAAAGCTGTTGCGCGGAGGGAAGCCACCACACTATGTTAAGGTTGATTGGGACAAATGGGTGGATGAGGACGAAGAAAAGGGTGCTGGTGAGCACTATGTGGACCATATCATTCCTTATGTCTAGGGATTATATACTGTTTAATGACATTAAACTTGTTCTGTCCCTTTTTTTGGTTCAGGTATGGGAGATCTGGATATGGGTGGAATGGATTTCTCGGTCTGTTTTAAAATTATCCCAAATTATTCTTTTGGTCCTTCATATTAATCTCAGAGATTAACATGGTGGGTTTTGCTTCTTGCAGAGTTTGGGTGGTGGAATGGGTGGCATGGGTGGACTCGGCGGCATGGGTGGCATGGGTGGACTCGGTGGAATGGAAGGCTTGGGTGGACTCGGTGGAATGGGTGGACTCGGTGGAATGGAAGGCTTGGGTGGACTCGGTGGAATGGGTGGACTCGGTGGAATGGATGACTTTGAGGACAGTGACGGTGAAGGTAAGGTCCTTGGAGACTTGTATTGTTGAATGTGGTCAACTGATTTTGGAGAGGTTGGTATTTGCTGGGCCAGTTAATTATTGATGAAGGAGCTACATCTGAAGATGGAATCTTAGTCACTCAAATTACAAGCATAATTTTATTCCTGGGTGACTGAGAGTATTGGCCAGGACATGTGCTTTGCTTTGCTTAGAAAAACATAGGGACGAAGTGATACTTCTTTACGGGTTTTGTATGAGAAATTTATCCACCTTGACTGCAATCTCGCTTCCTTTTGAAATGCTCGCTATGATGTATTCTGTGTACAGCCGAGTAAATTCCTTGTACTGATAATAGCAGAGGATTTTCATACTGAAACTTCTTAACTGCTTTGTTTCCGCAGAAGAAGCAGCTAAGCCTGATGATAAGAAAGATGGGGCAGAAGATAAAAAGGGGGCAGAGACAGGAGAGGCGAAACCCGAAGCACAGACCACAGCTTAGGAGCGAGGAGACACTGTTTGATGCTCTTAGTGATGAAAAACATTATGGTATTTTACTAACTGAGTGAGCTCTTCCAATGTCTACGGATGTTATATGCTTTTCCCCTTGTTTTTTTTTTTTTAAATGTTTCTTCCTCAATTTGCTGCTTCATGGATTGTTAAATTTCCCATATCCTCAGCACATTTGTTATGGCTATTCACTGCTCTTGTCTTTTGCGCCTCTCTTTTTCTGTTTCGAACTTGGGGGATGTTTGGTAGTGAAGTAGTGTTCATAGGAAAAGCCTTTCAATAGTTTGCACTTCAAAGCAATCGGTCAAATTTCTGTAGTGTTGAAAGCATCATGATCTCCCTTGGAAATTGCCAAACTGTTGTTTTCAATCCACGACAGTGTAAAAAGTTTACCAGTTTAAGAAATTTTCCAAATTCTAGAATTCCTCCCTGCGGTCATTCCTGACTCGGGTCTTTCTATGAATGGAAAGAGTTTTACGCTTTGACAAAACCATTTTTTGAGCAAATCGTCACATCAGAAGCAATCACCATCTCACAACAGAACAGACAAGCACGATATCATGAGTTTGACAGCTTATTCGTGAAGAGGTTTCTGCTGTCCAGACAGCCATGCAGACTTGGGTTTGTTTCTTTTCGTCAGACCAAGAGTTTATATGCCCATGAAGGTGCGGCACTGCAAGTCCCAGTACTCTTTCGCTTGCTGAATCCTCTCTGCTCTCTCCGTTCTTCTCCTCTCTTCCCAGTATCCTCTGCATCTGCCACCCATATTTCTGCTCAGTCTTTTTGCGGAATCAATCTATTCCGAGGGACTAACTGAAGAATAACGATATGTACCTTCGTCTCAGCAGGATACTGAGCTCGTCCAAGTGTACTGCCCCTTCATAGACATGAACCTGTACATGAGAAAACCGATAATGGGTCACTAGGATAATTCCTAAGATTAGTATGTGATATTAGACTGACCTCACGGCAAAGAGGGCATTTCTCCGTCGGCTCTGCGGATTTCAAGCCATCGATTACGCTTACTGATGCAGCAGAACAAGCACACATGTAACAGAATATGTGACCGCAGGTTAGAGACACCGGATCAAACACTGTGTCCTGTCATACCACCAAATTCAGATCCTTAAATTTTGAATACTTCCATCACTTGTTATAAGTAAATACACAGATAGTTTTATGGTTGATGCAAGAAGATTCTTCAATTAGATACTAAAGACACTTGGTCCTGAAAGGGATCTGCAGGAGAGTGGAAGAGCACTTAGACAAGGATTCTTTGGCAATAGGAGACTACATCCCAATTGGCTGATATATTTTTCTTTTATCATCATATCATCAAATAAGAAATTGGTCAGATAATATTATTTTGTAAGAAGATTCCAGTATGAGATTCTTTCAAGTCTGAGGTCACTTACCAGGCAGATGGAACAAGTCAGGTCAATGTCAACCTTTACAGAATCAAAGAGCTCGCATGAAAGGAAAGGCTTCCCATCGTTGAACATCAGCGAGCAGCCCTTGAACAGTGCAGAAGGATGGGTTGAATGTTCCGATCCCGACTTTTTCTGAGTTTCCCTCAGGTTGATGTGAAATGCCATGAGCTCGCAGAGCCATGGTGACTGCAGGATTTCGATGTGCATTCTCTGGACTTTGGTTTTGAACTCCTGCCCTTGTTTGGACTCATGAATCTGAATATATATTAAATCATGAATATGGAGGCCGTGCTCACTTGGAAAAAATGGTACAGAAGGTAGATTGAACCACCTAACGTTATTTTAACTAACGGCTAAATCTTTCATCTGAAAGGAAAGAACAACATGCATGTAACAAAACGTTTCAAAGCACCGTGAGGAGCATTAGGAACCTTAAACAAAGAGAGAAGGTGAGAAACTCAAGTAATCCAAGCAAGTAATTCACCTAAATGCTTTGTTAGACCTCTATAATAAACTCGTTGCAAGATTTATTAGTGTGTTATTCAAACAACAGAGTGTAGTAAGCAAAGTATTGTATGATAAACAGGGAGAGAAGGGTACCTTGTCATATTTCTTGAGGATTTTGCGGATGGCGACAGCGTTAATGAGGGCATAAGAGACAAGATCCTTGCCTTCTTGAATCAAGGCCATATGGTTACGTTGACGATGATCACCTTTGAACCAAATCAGATACTTTCTGAAACCAGAAGCCAAATGCAGCTCCAGCAGCTTCCGGGCATTCTCGTTGAACCATCCCACCACCTTCTCCATTTCCCTCAGCAGTTCCGGGAAGAAGGTTCCATCACAAACTGCAGGAATTCAATGTTATAAAAAGAAAAACAAAATGTATCAGATTTACACTGAATAATGTACGTGGTAAAAAGAATTCGTTGCATTTCTACTGCTGTTTTCCTTCTTGTTTCAACTTAAGGGTCTCTCATATTGTGATTAACACATACATTCTTTGAAACTTCCTATGATCAAAACCATACATTATTTCATGTGATAAAACTGAAATTAATTGACTTTGGATATGTAATAATCTTTGTAGTCTCATTGTATAAAACTGAAATTATTATAACCAGAGCCGCCGGATGATTAAAAAAGGGTCCTTATCAGATTCAGCATTGATGTCAACATTATCAATTTTGGATAACCGCCTCCACTTCAGATCACTATCTAAATTCGGATAATATAAAACAAGAAAAAAAGGTGGCGCAAGCGGATTTCAGATATTCCCCAGGAAAAACGTCAAAAGAAGAAAAAGGCTCGAGCTTTAAATGATTATGTAGACAAGAACGGTGTTAGGGAAATTATGTCGAACAGAACCTGGGCATTGTCGTGGACAATTTTCACGGCGATCGAGTGCTTCACTCAAATCCATCGGAGCAGAAAAATCTCGCCTGCATTTCTTCAGAATCTTCTTCAGATTCTTAAACCCAACTCCAGGAAGATTCTTCCTCTCCTGTCCCTGCATGTACTCCTCGTACTTCTTACAGAACTTCATTTTCTCCCCGACAAGAACAAAAATTCCCCCACCTTGTCTTTCTGCTTGCTCTGTTTTTTTTTTCCCTTTCACGACAAACAAGTACGCACACAAATAAGAGACAGAAAATTTAGATGACCATCAACAAAGCCCGTTTACTGAATCTGAACAAGAAATCAAATCAGCACTTGAGATGAATGTTTGGATTAAATCTCAATCAACCCAGATGATTTTTTCTCTCTCTCATGGTTTTTTTTCTCTCGATCACGGGGATTGTCTCGCCCACGAAAGGAACAGAGAGGCGTATTTATGGGGGAAGGAAGTGGAGAGAGGCGGCTACCCAAAAAAAAAAAAAAAAAAAAAAAAAAAACAGAGCTCGTAAAAAGTCAAATTTATTGGAAGCATATCGCTTAAGTGGAAAAGAAGCCAGCGAATATAAAAACGGTGCATTTGGAAAAATATTATATTATAGAAATCTTATTATTGGAAGATTTAATGGGAAATAATTATTTCATTTATATAGTTTATGACCTATTCTGAACAACACCCACCATATGAAAAAGTTGTGTGCAAATCGTGTCGTCGTTTTCTGAATGTTGTATAGTTTCTTGTAAATGTAAACTTCTTTTAACGAAAATATCAAATGGGATTGTTAGTTGGCAATCTTTTGAAAATTAAGAAAATAAAAGGAAGACGAAATTGGATAAAGATGCCATGCCATGCCACGGCGCAACCAAAGGGGTTAGGTTGTGAAAATGTTCTTTTTGTGGGGCCAAATTAGAAATTCGATGATACGATGCGTAGAAAATGTAAATTCTGTAGAAGTAAAAAGCATTCGTATTGGATTTTGCCAAATCCGGCCGCTGACTTTTTGCGTTATTTACGTTTTGACCCCAAATTTCTGTTTGGGTTCTACGTAATCCTTCACCACGCCGTCCTCGTATATATACTATATATATATATATTCCGTCAAACGATCATATCTTAGTTTTACATGACAAATATACATATTTTATAGCATGATGCTTATTTATAGATGTCAAATAACCAGTGGGTCTTGTTTTTTTTTAAAAAAAAATAATGTTGGGTATGTAGTTTCTCCTACTGAGCATATGTTAAAATGCGACAAACCTTATTTTTGAAGTTTTATTTATTGAACTATGTATATACCCTAAATATAAAAAAATGAGACACCGATTAAAAAAAAAAAACCTTAACTAAATTAGTTATACATAAAATAAATATATAAACTAGAATATTTGTCTATTAGCAAAAGGACAAGCTAATGACTTATGGTTTCTCGTGATGCTTTATTTTCTATTTGTGTTACATAGGGACAAAGATCGATGTCCATTCGACGGTCGAAGGAGTCAAACCCAAATCGAATCTGCAATCAACTCAAACACGTCGACACTTTATGGACCGAACGAAACTCGATAATCCTTTTTTTTTTTTTTGTCTAAGAACCCTAACAATTTGATGAGTATTAATTTCCAGGAAAAAAAAAACTTTAAGATAAATGGATAAGATTGGAATTGCCACTTAAAAATTCGTAATTTTCAAGATTCGCCTAATTTGGTGGTTGAGAGAGAGAGAAAGAGAGAGGGGTAATAAAAAAAATACTGAGCTAAATAATCAAAGGGTAATTATGGTAAAACAATTACTTTTATATATATATATATATATAATCAAACGTAGACTATAATTACACTACCACTATTTTTTCGGCACACTGTCCTTGCCAATTAACAATCGTGATTTTTCTACTAAAATGCAGTTACCAAAAAAAAAGGCGCTTCATCCACATAATAATTGCAATCATGACCTTCCAATTTAGTAATTTTTTTTTTGTTATATAAAGCATTACCCATTGTTTCACGGTGGTAACCATATGTTATTTAATTAATTTGGTCTTGTGGGTGGCATAGTTGTATGAACAAAGAATGATGAAGATAATCTAATAAAGTAAAAATGCAGATGCATCATGTTAAATACTATATTCTTCCCTTTATTTTTGTTATATAATAAACGGTCCACTGATTTTAAGGCGAGGTGGTCGTGCCCTCTTTACGTGAAATATGATTATTCTTGACCAAATAAAAAAAATGACCAATATGGGGTTTTTTATAAGGAAATGTTGGCCCCTACGCAATTGTAATCCGTAATAAATAAACACATGCCAAATTAGGCTATAATGTTAATCGGAGAGATATGTTATCATAAAACGGTCCAACATTTAATCTATGAAAAAAATAAATAACTAAAAAAGCTGAAAATTTCCTTCAAAGATTAATATTTTAACCATACCGAATCCAATAAAAAAATTAAATGATTATAATTTTTTAAAATTAAAATAATCATATCTGAATATAACCAAAACCGAAACCTGAATAAACCAATCCAATCCAAGTTAACTCCTTCGAACCCCGCATTCTGTTCTGTGAAAGCCCCGAAGGGAATAGGTACGCGATTTCCGGTTAAACAAAACCAGAACAAACCGATGAGTTTCGGTTTAATAACACAACAGACTCTCCTACAAAAAAAAAAAAAAAGACAATAAAACCAAGAAGTTCATCTTCATAAGGGAACATTCAGAATCTGAAGCATCGTTGCCGTGATATTACAAACGGAAATTTAAAAGAGTATCACAACAATCCATGAGAATCCCGAATACAACTTGCGACTTTTTTTTAAAGAACATAAAGATATGATCCATCCACTTACGACAACGAAGGAATAAACACTTTTCCTCCATAAATGCAGCTCCTGCTTCTTGGGAGTTTCAGAGATATTCTTTTCACTTGCCACTGAATCTTACCTGCAACCAAAACATGTTCCAAGTTCTGTTTTAGCAACTGAGATAAGAATCGAGGATTGGTAATGACATGAACTGAGTAGATACCGAGATGGGCTCCTGCTCCTGCTGCGGTTAGGGCTCTTGGTCGGGCTTGGCTTGCTAGGGCTCTTACTCGCTTCCTTCTGATGCTGCGACGTGGAGATTTTTAAGACAGATTAACAATGGAAAAACATATAAAGGCATCACACTTTCGATCAAAATTGCCTCTCCTGTCCCTACTGCGTTAAACTGAAGGAGAGATCTTGGCTTTCGCACGGTAAGAACAGAGCACATTAGCAAAAGAGAGAGTTACAGAGAGGCAAGAGTATGTCAATCAAGAGATTACTCACAGAAGGCAGAGGAGATGCTGATCTTGATCGAGATCTGCAAAATTCCGAGAAACAAACCCAGATTTAATATCCACTAGTTCCTGTTTAATAGCGTTCACCAAAGAGCCTTGATGCCTCTCCCATGTCAGAAATCAACCAAGAAATGAAAAGATACGAAAAAAAAAATCAACTTTAGACAATTTCAAGCAAAAAACATAAACCAGCCAAGGTAAAGGTAAGAAATTCGGTAAAAGCAATGGACCAAGAAGTGGGAGTCTTAAGGCAACCGGTCCTCTCAAACCCAGTGGACAGAACAGAATCAGTTCTGAATGTGACACATCCATGAGAATCCAGATAGCTTGTTGGAGGGAAGATAATGAAAATATCTTTCCCATCTCATCAACAAACCCTTCCAGAGGATACTAAGTTAAACTGAATCCACAGAGCCATCATCCATAGAGCCAACTTAGTTTACTGAAATCCCGACATAATATTGTCCATCCACTGTTTCCACTGTTACCCATGTAGCAGCAACTGGAGATTAGCGATGGTATATCAGAAAACCGAGACAATATAGAAGTTCCAATTTCAAAGTTGCTCATCTAAAAAAGGAGCATACCTCTGGGTGTACGACCAAGACATCCCATCCAGATTAATTACCAATTTTTTTAGTTGACTGTATGTATATCCATATCTATGGAACAAAACCCGTTTTCATTCCCGGTGAGAAAAAAAAAAGGCAGACTTCAGAAGACAAGAATTAAAAAGCCTTAACCAAAAGAACTGAAAAGAACAGAACAGACTACAGTACGGTTAGAAGAATATGCAAGGCTAATATTCGCATGCCTCGTGAAATGGTTTCAGTTGACACAAATTTAATTTTCATGTTTCAGATATCCACCCTGACCACATTGTCTTAGACCACATTGTCTTAGACCACACAGACCATCCTCAAATCATTATGACTAAGATTTGTTATCCGACGAATCAGTAAGCAAAGTGTAAAAGAAGAAATCATACCCAAGTGGAGACCTTGACCTTGACTTAGAATGGGCGCGAGGAGATCTTGATGTAGACTTAGCAGGCGACCTACGTGAAGATCTAGCCTTTGGGCTCCTGCTCTTGCTACTGCTCCTGCTCCTGATCCTGCCTCGGTTCAAGCTGCGGCTGTGGGTG